CTGTGAACCCATCTGGACTTGGACTTTTTTTGGTTCATAGGCTAGTAATTGCTGCCTCAATTTCTGACCTTGTTATTGGTTTACTCAGGGATCAACTTCTTCCTGGTTTAGTCTTGGAAGGGTGTAAGTGTCCAGGAATTTATCCATTTCTTCCAGATTTGCTGGTTTATATGTATAGAGTTGTTTTTAGTAATCTCTAATGGTAGTTTGTATTTCTGTGGAATCAGTGGTGATATCCCCTTTATCATTTTTTATTGCATCTGTTTGACTTTTCTCTGTTTTCTTCTTTATTAGTCTGGCTAGTAGTCTATTTTGTTGATGTTTTCAAAAAACAACCTCCTGGATTTATTGTTTTTCGAAGGTTTTTTTGGTGTTTCTATATCCTTCAGTTCTCCTCTGACCTTAGTTATTTCTTGTCTTCTGCTAGCTTTTGAATTTGTTCGATCTTGCTCCTTTAGTTCTTTTGTGACATTAGGGTGTCAATTTTAGATCTTTCCTCACTTCTCATGTGGGCATTTAGTGCTATAAATTTCCCTCTAGCCACTGCTTTAAATGTGGTCCAGAGATTCTGGTCCATTGTGTCTTCGTTCTAATTTGTTTTGAAGAACATCTTTATTTCTGCCTTCGTTATTTATCCAGTAGTCCTTTCAGGAGCTAGTTGTTCAGTTTCCTTGTAGTTGTGTGGTTCTGAGTGAGTTTCTTAATCCTGAGTTCTCATTTGATTGCACTGAGAGACCGGATGTTATGATTTCTGTTCTTTTGCATTTGCTGAGGAGTGATTTACTTTCAGTTATGTGGTCATTTTGAGTATGTGTGATGTGGTGCTGGGAATAATGTATATTCTGTGGATTTCGGGTGGAGAGTTCTGTAGATGTATGTTAGGTCCATTTGGTCTGGATCTGAGTTCAAGTTCTGGATATCCTTCTTAATTTTCTCTCTCATTGATCTGTTTAATATTCCCACTATTACTGTGTGGGAGTCTTAAGTCTCTTTGTAGGTCATTAAGAACTTGCTTTATGTATCTGGGTGCTCCAATATAGGGTGCATATATATTTAGGATAGTTAGCTTCTTGTTGCATTGATCCCTTTACCATTATGTAATGCCCTTCTTTGTGGCTTTTTATCTTTGTTGGTTTAAAGTCTGTTTTATCAGAGACTAGGATTGCAATCCCTGACTTTTTGCTCTCCATTTGCTTTGTAAATATTTCTCCATCCCTTTATTTTGAGCCTATATGTGTCTTTGCACATGAGATGGGTCTCCTAAATATAGCACTGATGTGTCTTGACTCTTTATCCAATTTGCCAGTTTATTTGCTTGGTAGATTTTTCTCCATCCCTTTATTTTGAGACTATAAGTGTCATTACATGTGAGATGGGTCTCTTTAAGATTGCATACAATTGAGTCTTGCTTTTTCTTTTTCTTTTTTCAATCTAGCTTGCCACTCTGTGCCTTTTAAGTGGGGGCATTTAGCCCATTTACATTCAAGGTTACTATTTATTTGTGTAGATTTGATTCTGTCATTGTACTGTTGGCTGGTTATTATGTTGGCTTGTTTGTGTGGTTGGTTTATAGTGTCCTTGATCTGTGTGTTTAAGTATGTTTTTGTATTAGCTTGTAGTGGTCTTTCTTTTCTATATTTAGTGCTCCTTCCTAAAATCTCTTGTAAGGCAGATGTGGTAGTAATGAGTTACCTCAGAATTTGCTTGCCTACAAATAATCTTATTTCTCCTTTACTTAAGAAGCTTAGTATAGCTGGATACAAAATTCTTGGTTGACGATTTTAATAATGTTGAATATAGTCACCCAATGTCTTCTGGCTTGTAGGATTTCAGCTGAAAGGTCTGCTGTTAGCCTAATGGGGTTCCCTTTGTAAGATAACCTGTCCTTTCTCTCTAGCTGCCTTTAACATTCTTTCTCTCATTTTGACCTTGGCAGTTCTGATGATTAGGTCTCTCTTGGGGATGGTCTTCTTGTATAGAATCTTGCAGGCATTATTTTTCCTGAATTTGACTGTTGGCTTCTCTAGCAAGGTTAGGGAAGCTTTCACAGATGATATTCTGAAATATGTTTTCCAAGTTGTTTGATTACTCCACCCCCTATTCAGGGATGCCAGTGATTTGTAGAATTGGCCTCTTTATATAATACCATCCGCTTAGAGGTTTTGTTCATTCCTTCTTGTTCTTTTATTTGTTGCCCATTTTATATTAGAGAACCAATCTTCAAGTTCTGAGATTCATTCCTCAGCTTGGTTTATTCTGCTGTTAATACTTGTGATTGGATTGTGAAATTTTTGTATTGTGTTATTGGACTCATTCAGATCTGTTAGGTTCTTTTTTATTATACCAGCTATTTTGTCCTTCAGCTCCTCTATCACTTTATTGTTATTTCTTATTTTCCTTGGATTGGGTTTTGCCATTCTCCTGAGTCTTGATGAATTTTGTTCCTATCCATTTTCTGAATTATATTTATGTCATTACAGACAGTTCAGCCAGGTTAAGAACTCTTGTTGGAGAACTGATGTGGTTGTTTGGAGGACATATGATATTGAGACCATTTGAGTTACTGAAGTTCTTGCATTGGTTTCTTCTCATCTCCATGTATGGGTTTTCTTTAATTGCAGTGTAGATTAAGTAAAGTCAATAGACTTATTTTTGGATATTTTCACCAGGCTGAGCCTTTGTGCAGGATCTTTACTTGAAGTAGATGTCTCATCTCTGGTTTCAGTGGGGAGTATATTAGCAAGGAATTTTTGGTGCTGAATCTTTTGGATGTGATCCAGTAGGTGGCACTTGGGCTTACTGGTCAGTTGGTAGACTCTTGCTTAGCTATGTGGCTCCCCTGTGTTTCTTCACAGTTGCAGCCATGTTCTTTCTCAATGATCTGAAATTGCGCTTTTCTCCCCCTTGAGTGCTGGCTGTAGATGATAATGGCTTGGCACTCCTAGGATGCCAACTGCAGCTTTGGGGAAATCTCCGAGTTTATATTTCGTCTCCAACTTTGACACAGAAGAGGAAGGGACATTAGTAGTGGTTATAGTCAAGGGTCTTTTGCTTGTCTTCTTGGGGTTCCACCCCCAGAGAGATACAGGTCAGCAACTGTTCAGTGCAATCATCCCAGGATGGAGAATCTGTGCTGTGGGGCCAATCCAGGGGCTCCGTGTTGCGAGCAGTGGAGAGTGCATAGAACCTATAGGAGATAGACTAGCTTCCTCTCCTTGGGTCAATCAAAGCTTGTTGAAGGTGGAGGTAAGTGTCTTGGCTCCTTCATTAGTCTGAGGATAGCAAGGACAGTTCCACTGCAGAAATAGTGGCAGAGAGGCTTTCAGTTGCCCCTGGAGGCTCCTTCCAAGGAGTGGCTGAGTTGCTACTGGCTTGACAGCCCTGGTGGGCAGGTGGGTAGAGGCCCAGGCCTGCAAGACTTGCCTAGTAGAAGATATAGAAACGGAAACCCAGGTAACAGTCTGGCCACTTTTCTGTAGGGCTGCTATAGTATGCCCAGGGCCCACTCTAGTCTCTAGTAGCCTCAGATTTTCTAATACCTGGAGTTATCATCAGTGAAGCCTGTGAAACAGCAACAATGGCAGCCTACCCCTTTCTGTGAGAGCTTTGCCCTGGGCAGATATGAACATGTTGCTGGCCCAAACACACCTGTAGGAGGTGGCTGGAGACCCCAGTTGGGAGGTTCCACCCAATGAGGAATGACATTGGGAAAGTGCTTTAAAAAGCAGTCTGGCCACATTTTCACAGAGCAGCTGTGCTGTGCTGGGGGTTCACATCAGCCCCTGTTCTCCTTGTACACTGCAAAACCTGAAAGTTGAAGTGGCTAAGTTGCAAAAACAGCAAAGATGGTTGCCTTCCCCTCCGTCAGCAGTTCCATCCCAGAAAAAATTGAAATCTCTGTCAGTAGGAGAACAACAGTGAGGGTGGCTGGAGGCCCCAGTTGGGAAGCCCCAAACAGGGGGAACGAATCAAGGACCTGCTTAAAGAAGCAGTCTGGCCAAGCTTTTGTACAGCAGCTGTGCTGTTCTGGGGGACTACTTCCACCACAAGTCAGCTGGGACTCTTTAAAACCCAAAGGCTGAAAAAAAGGTTGTCAAAACATCAAAGATGGTGGCCCACTCCTCTCTCTGGGCACTCGATCTCAGGGAGAATTCAAATCTTTTGTCAGCCCAAGAACACCAGAGTAGGTGGTGGAGGCCTGGTTGGGAGGTCCCACCCAGTAAGGAGGAATGTGATTGGGGACCTTCTTTAGAAGCTTCTTTAGAAGCAGGCTGACCACATTTTGGAAGAGTAGCACTGTGCTGTGCTGGTGGATCCCTCTGCCCCTGGTCCACTGAGACTCTCCAAGCCCCAAAGGCTGAAGTAGCTAAGTTGCCCAAACAGCAAAGATGGTAGTCTGTCCTTCCTCTCAGGAGCTCTGTCTCAGGGAGGCTCACCACTGTTGCTGGTGGCTGGCTGGAATTCCAAGCCAGTGGCTCGTATCCTTGGAGGTGCTGTGGAAATGAGGCCTGAAGGCTGCCATGGCTCAGCTCCCTGGACTCAGCCTCTTCCCTAGGGGTATGTATGAGGGTGTAACTTCCCACTTTGCCACAGCTGCAGTTACTTTTGCTGGAAAGCCCAAGTAACTAAGGCTCCCAGGTCTCCATGAGTGCCTGAGTGGCTGCTATGTGAAGACTCCATGTATCTCTGACAGACTGAAGGCACTGGTAGAGGGGGTTAATGAGGAGATCTCCTGACCCAAGGATTGCAAAGATCCATGGGTGAAGGGTGGGTTTCCAGGGTCACACATTCACTCACTGCTTCCCTGGATGAGGGAGGTTCCCCTGGGTCTGTGTTGTTCCCAGGTGGGCTGTAATTTTGCCCTGCTTTTCTTCATTCTCCCTGGGTCAAGTTGTTTCCTTGGTTATTTCCAATGTGAGTATCTGGATGTTTCAGTTGAAGGTGCAGTATTTACTCTCCCCTTGTGATCCTCTCTTTTTTTTTTTTTTTTTTTTTTTTAGGTACCACCTATAGGATGCAGTGAGAAAGACAGCATCACTTCTGCAATATTCCTGCACATGACGAAGAACCTGAATCTAATCACAAGGAAACACTGAATGAGCCCAAGTTAAGGGACATTCTAGGAAGTAACTGGCTCATAATCTATAAAAGTGCAATTGAAGTTAAGAACAGATTAAAGAACTGTTCCAGATTTTAAAAGACCAGAAATAACAGAACTAAATGTGATAGGTGATTCTGTATCTGATCGTTTTGCCATAAAAACATTATTAGGCACACTGGTGAAACTTGAATAGAGTCTGTGCTATGGATTAGCTGCCAGTAATCTACCAGTGTTAATTTCCTGATTTTGATTGTTTTTGTTTGTTTGTTTTTAAATTTAAGACAGAGTTTCACTCTGTGGCTTAGGCTGGAGGACAGTGGCACGATCTCAGCTCACTGCAACCTCCGCCTCCCAGGTTCAATTGATTCTTCTGCCTTAGCCTCCCAAGTAGCTAGGACTACAGGTGCACACTACCATGCCCAGCTAATGCTTGTATTTTTATTTTTTTTTAAGAAAAACAATAAAGAAGAGAAAGAAAGAGAAAGAGGAAGAGGGAGAGAGAATGGGGGTATTGCTTTGCTGCCCGGGCTAGAATGCAGTCTAAATATGGGTATGCCTATAATTGTCCTTAATAATGGAGACATGAAAGAAAATGAGGGAAGAGAGTAACAAACAAGGAGCCAACCAACATTTCGTTTAAACTTCTAAGTTGATATGATGTGGTACTGATAAAAGTGTATATTTTGTGTAAAGTGGAGAGTTCTATAAATGTTAATTACATTTACTTGTTCCAAATCTGAGTTCAAGTCCTGGCTATCGTTGTTAATTTTCTGTCTCATCGATCTGTCTAATATTAATGTTGAAGTCTCCCACTATTATTGTGTGGGAATCTAAGTCTCTTTATAAGTCTTGTATGTCTGGGTATTCCTGTATTGGGTGCGTGTATATTTAGGACCTTTAACTCTTCTTGTTGTTGCATTAATTCTTTTATCATTATATAATGTCCTTCTTTGCTTCTTTTGATCTTTGTTGCTTTAAATACTATTTTATCAGAGGCAAAAATTGTAACTTCTGCTTTTTATTTATTTATTTTTGCTCTCTGGTTGGTTGGTAAGTTCTCTCTCCATCCTTTGTTTTGAGTCTTTATGTATCCTTGAATGTGAGATGGGTCTGGATGCAGCATACAGTTTTGGTTTTTTGTCCAAATTGCCTGTCTTTGAATTGAGGAATTTAGTCAATTTAAATTTAGAATTGATGATGATATATGTGAGTTTAATACTGTCATTTAATATTAGCTGGCTATTTTGCCCATTAGTTGATGTAAATTCTTCATTATATTGATATTTTTTACTTTTTGGTACTTTTTAGAAAGGCTGATACTGTTTGTTCCTTTCTATGTGTAGTGGTTCTTTCAGAAGCTCTTGTAAAGCAGGCCTGGTGGTGATGAATTCTCTGAGTGCTTGCTTGTTCACAAAAAACTTTATTTTTCCTTCACTTATGAAGCTTAGTTTGGCTGGATGTAAAATTCTTGGTTGAAAGTTCTTTTCTTTAAGGATGTTGAATATTGGTCCCCACTCTCTTCTGGCTTGTATGGTTTCTGCTGAGAGATCTGCTGTGAGTCTGATAGGCTTCCCTTTGTGGGTAACCTGACCTTTCTCTCTGGCTGCCCTTAGTATTTTCTCCTTCATTTCAACCATGGTGAATCTGACGATTATGTGCCTTGGAGTTGCTCTTCTTGAGGAATATCTTTGTGGTGTTCTCTGTATTACCTGGAGCTGAATATTATCCTGCCTTACTAAGTTAGGAAAATTTTCCTGAATAATATCCTGAAGCATATTTTCCAGCTTGGATTCATTCTCTTCGTCACATTCAGGTACACCTATCAAGCGTAGATTAGGTCTTTTCACATAGTCCCATATTTCTTGGAGACTTTGCTCATTCCTTTTTATCCTTTTTTCTCTAATCTTGTCTTCTTGTTCTATTTCATTGAGTTGGTCTTCGACCTCTGATATCCTTTCTTCTGCTTGATCAATTCGGCTGTTAAAACTTGTGCATACTTCACGTAGTTCTCGTATTGTGTTTTTCAGTTCCATCAATTCACTTATTTTCCTCTCTAAATTTTGTATTCTTGTTGACATTTCGTCAAACCTTTTTTCAAAGTTCTTAGTTTCTTTAGATTGTGTTACCATAAGTTCTTTTAATTCACAGGAGTTTCTTATTATCCACGTTTTGAAGCCTGCTTCTGTAATTGGGGCACACTCGTTCTCCATCAAGCCTTGTTTCGTTGCTGATGAGGAACTGTGATCCCCTGCTGAGGGAGAGGCGTTCTGATCTTGGGTATTCTCAGCCTTTTTTGGCTGTTTTCTTTCCTTCATTGTAGATTTATCCATCTGTGGTCTTTATAATTACTGTCTTTGTAATTGGGCTTCTGAGTGGACGTCCAACTTATTGATTCTCAGCGCCGAAATCTGAGCAACCCACTGCGCCGACCAAATCAGCAGCGTTAAGATGGATGATGCCTTTCTGACTCTGCACCAAGAACCGACGCTCCGAGGCTCCGGCAAAACTGCCTCGCCGGTCACAAGAGTCGCGCTGGCGACCCGTGGGGCTCCTCCGCTGGGAATCTCCTGGTGCGTGAGCAACAAGAATTCATGTGAAGGTGTGGCGTCCTCTCGTTCTTTGCGTTTTCAGTGGGAGCTACAATCCCGAGCTGCTAGTGATCAGCCATCTTGGATCCTAATGCTTTAGGATCCAAGCATTAGGATCCAAGATGGCTGATCACTAGCAGCTGAAGCATTAGGACCCTTGTGATCCTCTGTGAGAGCCACACATACCAGGTGCTTCAACTTGGCCACCTTGGCCAGCCCACAGCCCCCTCACTGCTATTATTTTTACATATAACATTTACAACTCTATACATGACTTCATTATACTCGTTTTATAGGAGAAGATATTTTAGGCATATAGACTGAATAACATCTAAAGTCCTTTCCATATAAGATGCAAATTCTGGAACTGACAATGTACAAAACTACTATGTATCTCAAACTTAAGATGTAATTAGGCATTTCTATAGCTCCACACTTTTTAAATGTTTAAATATTTTGTTAGAGTTTTAAAGAATCATTTACTTAAAAAATATTCCTCTCCAGGAAAGGAATGAAAGGGGAAAGTCAATACAGCACCTTCAACTGAAACAACCAGATACTTGCATTCGAAGTAATCACAAAAACAACTCCAGCCAGCCACCAGCAACAGTGTTTTATCTACCTGATACTGAGTTTTCAGGGGGCAGGGCAAACCACCATCTTTGTTTTTTGGGCAACTTAGTCATTTCAGCCTGTGGGCTTTGGAGAGTCCAAACCAACTCAGGGCAGAAGGGATCCCCCAGCACAGCACAGCTGCTCTACCAAAATGTGGCCAGACTGCCTCTTTAAGTGGGTCCCCAATCCATTCCTCCTCACTGGGTGGGACCTCCCAACTGGGGTCTGCAGCTACTCCTGCTGGTGCTCTCAGGCTGACAGATTTGCTTCTCCTTGGGATGAGTTCCCTGGGGGAGTAGGGGTTCGCCATCTTTGCTGTTTGGTTGACTCTGCTGTTCTAGTCTGTGGGCTTTGGAGAGTCCAAACTGACTAAGGTGGAGGGGATCCCCAGAACAGCACAACTGCTCTACCAAGTCATGCCAGATTCAAAATAAATAGATCCCTGATCCATTCCTCATTGGATGAGACCTCTCAAGTGGGGCTTCCAACCATCCCTACTGGTATTCTAGAGCTAGCAGAGATTTACATTCTCCCTCTGATAGCATTGTCAAGGTCCTGCCAATCAAGAAGGAATGGATCAGGAACCTGCTAAAAAGAATCTGCCTGACCAAGATTTTGTAGAGTAGCTGTGCTGTGCTGGGAGATCCCTTTTGCCCCTGATCAGTATGGATTCTCCAAAGCCCTCAGACTGGAGTGGCTAAGTTTCCCAAACAGCAAAGATGGCAGCTCCCCACTGACCTAGAACACTCATCTCTGTGGGCCTGAGAACACTGGCAGTTGTGGTTGGAGGTTCCAGTTGGGTGGTCCCTCACTGGGCAGGACCTTGAGAACTCCATGCCAAGGAGAATTCAAATCTCTGTCAGCCTGAGAACACTGGTGGGGGTGGCTGGAGGCCCAGGTTGAAAGAACCCTTACTGGGCAGGAACTGGAGAACTCCATGCCAGGGAGAACTCAAATCTTGGTCAGCCCAAGAAAAATGGTGGATGTGGCTGGAGTACCCAGTTGGAAGGTCCCTAACTGGACATGATCTCAAAACCTGTATGCTAAAGAGAATTCCAATCTCTGTCAGCCTGAGAACACCGGTGGGGTTGGCTGGAGGCCCCAGGTGGGTGGGACCTTGAGACCTCCATGCCAGGGAGAATTCAAATCTCTGTCAGCCTGAGAACACCAGTGATGGTGGCTGGAGCCCCCAGTTGAAAGGAACCTCACTTGGCAAAACCTCGAGACCTTCAGGCCAGGGAGAATTCAAATCCCTGTCAGCTCCAGAACACTGGCGGGGGTGGCTGTGGGCCCCGGTTAAGAGGTCCCTCACTTGGCAGGACTTTAAGCCCTCCATGCCAGGGAGAATTTAAATCTCTGTCAGCCTGAGAACACTGGCGGGCGTGGCTATGAGCCCTGGTTAAGAGGTCCCTCACTTAGAAGGACCTCAACACCTCCAGGCCAGGGAGAATTCAAATTTCTGTCAGCCTGAGAACACCAGCAGGGGTGGCTGGAGGCCCCCAGTTGAAAGGACCCTCACTGGGCAGAACCATGAGACCTCCATGCCAGGGAGAATTCAAATGTCAGCTCCAGAACACTGGCGGGGGTGGCTGGAGGCCCCAGCTGGGTGGGACCTCGAGACCTTCATGCCAGGGAGAATTCAAATCTCTGTCAGCCCCAGAACACTCGTGGGGGTGGCTGCGGGCCCTGGTTGGGGAGGTCCCTCACTGGGCAGGACCTCAAGACATCCATGCCAGGGAGAATTCAAATCTGTCAGCCCGAGAACTGGCAGGGGTGGCATAGCAAGGTGCTCTACCAAAATGTGACCAGATTGCATCTTTAAGGTCTCTGATCCATTCCTCCTCATTGGGCTGGACCTCCCAACTGCAGCCTGCAGCCACCCCCGCTAGTGTTTTCGGGCTGACAGAGATTTGAATTCTTTCTCCCTGGCATGGTGGTCTCAAGGTCATGCCCAGTGAGAATTTTTTTTGGCTGGGGCCTACAGCCACCCCCGCCGGTGTTCTCAGGCTGACAGAGATTTGAATTCTCCCTGGCATGGAGGTCTCGTGGTT